AAATTAGTCACTAAAACTTTTAGCTTCCTTATTTTTTCCTTACCAAGCTATTTCTTTCCCAATTTCATATGATTGAATCCCTGCTTTCTTATGAGAATTGTGATGAAAGTTTTACTTTATGGCAAGCGACGGCTCAGTACTGATTCATCGGGTTGTGAAATTGTGCACCAAGCATGTTTAGGTCATCTTGTTTCGATTTTTAATGGGTTACGATTCCATTTCAATGAACTTTTAATATTAAATGAAAGGTTTAATTAAATAATTTTATTTATTATTCGTATATTAACTTTTCATTTTGTCAACGTTTTTTGCCTTTGCATCTCCTCTACACAGCTTTGAATTTTACTAACCATTCTGAATATTAACCACTTCCTAATGTCTACGTGAGGAGTCTTAGCACCATTTGCTTATTTTCTTTATTTGAAGCATCTTTATATAAGAACTTTATTCTTCCTATTTCATTTAAGTTGATTAAGAGCTGCTAGTTGAATTTTTCCACAATGATACGAGTATGTCTCATTTTTTCGCTGACTCACATAACCATGCTTCCCGAAAGGTATTCTCATCGAGGATAGAGCGAACTGTTATTTTCAGCCTCGTCTTGGTCTCAGCACTTACAGCGGGACCCGAACCTTGGTGATGCAGCCTATAGCCTTTTCGCTTTAATCACTACGTCACATTACCGCGAGTGCCTTTAGGCCACAAAGAAAAAGTGACTTTCGGGGTAACCTAGGTCCTTACTATGGGACCATCGACAAAATAGGGCTGTATTTGTTATATAATCTGAGTAAATTGCCTATTTTTGGTTTTAAAAGCAGGCTTTCGAGTTCCTATGTAAGAAATATTGGTAGTCTCAAAAATCTAGCCTTATAAAACCCAAAATAAGTAATGTAGTCGATTGCTCTAAAAAATGCAACTGTACTTCGTCAACAATCTCACAACATGAATGTGCTGTGGGGAAGGTTTAGGCTTCCTTGAAATCACTTATGTCCTGTGCCCCAAGTGTACTCGTAGCAGTGTTGCGTATAGGTCAACGTGCCGATACTGTATGCTGTACTATCCGTTTTATTCGTGTTGTGGATGGTGATGAGACTTACGTGAATTCAAAACTACAGCCCACTCCAGTCTGGATTAGAATACCTTTCTGAAAGCAAGGCTATGTGGAATTCAATAGAATCATGTGACATACCCTTATCATTTAGGGAAAATTCAACTACCAACTCTTCATTATCTTAACCTAAATAGAGTGATACGGCTCTAACGTTACTTATTGTCCATTTTATAAGTTGATTACGGAAGTACTAGTTGACCCTATATCAGAGCTTTCTTCACCATATTTCGTTTAGGGTTATGGAGGACCGGCAGTTAAATTTATCTTCCACTATATTTAGTATCTTGCTTCCATTGTATTTCAGATGGGCTTGCTTTCCAGAAGGTATTTTTATTCAGGTTGAATGGCTTAGATCACATTTTCACCACCAATAGGACTCGAACCAGGGTAGTGCAGCGTCTCGACACGTTAACCACTTGAACGAAGTAGGGTGAATACAGCTCTTATATAAGATTAACTGAGAGTCTCGTAGACATACTTATGAATAGGAAAATAAGTAATGTAGTCGACTTTAATGGCAACTACGATTTTGCTTCAAACAATCAAACCATAGAGAATGATACGGGAAAGGCCTGGCCTTCTTTGAAATTCATATCTACATTGTGATCCAAGGGCATTTTTGGAAATATGGCTAGTGTTCAACATGTCGAGATTATGCACTGCGCTACCTGGGTTAGAGTCCTACTGAGTGTTGATGAGACCTAGGCGAGATCGAAATTTCTTTTTACTCTTGAAATAAACGTCTTTTTGGAATTAAGACTATGGGAAATTTAGGGAAAACGTGAAGCCTACGTACATCATATCTCTTATATAAGATACACTAGTAGTCTTGTAAGCTACGTATAATCTAAAATGCTTAGCGCAGTCTGTCTTCAAACCCTATCTTATTAAGCATATTAATTGCAGTATTTTTATACCACATGAACATGTATAGTTTAGAGGTTTTTTCACCTTGTTTTCTCAGCATGGTGATATTCATAGGAAGACTTAGAGGAACGCACCTAGTCCTAA